GGGGCACCTTTTTCAGCTCCCCCCGTCTCTTTCTCTCCCTCTCTCTTTTTTAAGTTGTCGGTAGGAGACGTGTCAGTCCGCCCGCCCCCCACCCTTGCCCCTTCCCCTTAGTAGCCCCCCGCCGCCCGGCTCCCTTGCCCTGGGGGACGGTGCCGCCCCCGGGCCTGCGACGGGCTCCTTGCTCTCTCCTTGCCCGCCGGCTCCCCCGGGAGCCCCYGAGTACTTTGCACGAGTTCAAAAAGAGGAATATTAATAAATGAATATGGCAATAAAGTGACCCTACCGAGGCAAGGCTGTGGCCGGCTGTGCCCCCCCCATCCGTCCCACCCCCCAAAACCTCCGCTGCTCCCCCCTGTCCATCATTTCCCCACTCCGGGTGCATCCTGGTTCCCGCGCGGGGCAGGGCGCGAGGGCGGCGCTCCCTCCATCCTCCTCCTCGCGCYGAGGCCGCCCACCCGCCGTGCCCCATCCCGGGCACCGGGCTTGCCCGCCGGACCCCCCTCCCAATCCCACCCTGTCCCGTCCCGCTCCCGCCCCGCTTGGCCCCTCGCTTGGCCCCGTTCTCCCGTACGGTAACTGTTTTTTGGAAAGCACAAGTTCTGTAACGGCCGTGTGCTCATGTATGTTAATAAATAAAGCGACTCCCAAGGGGGGCTGCCGCCTGCGTGGGGGGCCGCGCCGCCCGCGCGCCGCGCCGGGGGGAGACCAGCCGCTTCCACAAACTTTTATTCTCAAACTGTAACAAACAAGATAAGAAACAGAGCAGAGTCCGGGCCCGGCTCCGAGCCCCCCCGGCCGCGGGGGGGACCATGTGGGGCGGCAGCGGGGGGCGAGATGGGGAACCAGCCCCTCACGCGCTGGCTGCGGCCGGGGCGCCCGTCCGGGCAGGGGGGACGGATGGTGCCGGTGTTCCCGGGAAGGGCGGGAGGCCGCGCACCCCGTTCCCGGCCCCGCCGCCCCGTCCCGGCGGCTCCGCGCGGGGCCGCCCCTCGGCCGCCGCCGGGCTACACGGCCGTAGTCCTGCCGAAGAGCGGCATGGAGACCGGGAGGTGCCAGGGCCCCGGCTCGTACGTGTCCCTGCTGCTGAGCTCCGAGTCCGTCCAGCTGGGGAACATGCGCGGCGAGCACTCGGCCTGCAGGTAGAGGTCCGGGCAGGCGGGCCCGGGGCTGGCGGCGCGCGGCAGGTGCAGGGCCGAGCCGTAGCCCGTGTCCAGGAAGAGCGGCTTGTAGCTCGGCGGCTGCTCCTGCTTCTCCAGCCGCTCGTGGCTCAGGAAGGGGGCGTTGATCTTGCGGTAGAGCCCCCGCGTGTCCATGAGCACCTCGCTGTAGGGCGGCGGCGGCTCCGCCATCAGCAGCGCCTCCTCGTAGCACGGCGGCTTCGACAGGTCCGACTCTGCAAGGCAGCGCAGCCCCCGGCCCGTCAGTGCACACGGAGGGACGCATCCAGCCGCCCCTCCATCCATCCATCCATCCATCCATCCATCCATCCATCCATCCATCCATGCCTCCCTCTGTCCCTCCTGCTGGTGGCACTGGTGGCCCTTCATCCCATCCAGGCACCCCACCATCCATCTCTCCTGCTGGTGGCCCTTTGTTCCATCCAGCCGCCACCCCTCCATCCATCCATCCATCCATCCATCCATCCATCCATCCATCCCTTGC